TTTATTAGAGATCTACCTCTAACTGTCTCCAAACTGAATTTTCTTTAAAAAAAAGTTTCAGATTTTCTTCAGCTTGGAGCTGGTCTTGTTTGATGGGACTCCGGTGGTGTAGGCCCCATGCTGTCAGCAGCACTTCTGGAAACAGGCATGTCATGTACAGTGGTTCAGATGCACCAAGGTCTGAAGCCAGTCTCATTGATTTAATCCATTAAAAAACATTTAGAAACAAACTTTTTTGGATTTTAACATCCTTTTAAAAAAGAACTTATATATTGCATATTTGCTAGGGATGTGCAATTCCCCCCAAGTAAAAACAAAAATAAAAATGACATCTAGTGTGCCAGCCATTAATGGGCCTAACGCCCTCACATGAGGGGCAGTATTTGAATCCAGGGATTAGAATTAGCCATCCTTAAATTCCAGTATCAGGGGGAAAATATATATTTTATATGCATATTAATTATATAAATTTTCTGGTTAAAAGAGAAGGCTATAAAAAACCCTTTGCCAATGAGCAAACAACTAAACTAGTTGGGATAGGAATATATACACAGGGAAAAAGAGAGCCAGCAGCCTGTGAAGAATGGACAGCAAGCAGTTCAATCTCAAAACTGGAGGTGTTGAGAAGGAACTGAATGGCAATTGGTTTGCTCCATCCTTTATACCCTCAGCGAGAGACACAAGAACATTCAGGGTGCATTCACAGCCACAACAGACTCCTATCTCAAACAAATGAGGGGAATGTGTACCATAAGCGAAATGTGTGAACAATAATTCAAAGAAGAATCAACCATTACTAACAAAAACTAACCACTAATGTCAAACACCCAACCAACAAAGCTATTGTTTGAGGCTCTTCAACTCAGCAAGACCACAGTCCACAAGCTTACACAATTTATGTTTCAAAGGTAATTCCATCGGAAGGGCTAGATTTCATTTTTTTTAAATAAAAGCTTAGACTGGAACCCAATTCCATAGCAACAGATGCATTCCATGGCAAATTTTCTGAGTGACAAAGCCCCTGTTTTTACTTAAAGGAAAAAAAGAACAAAAATTCATTCAATACAATATTGTAGGGAAGGGCAATAACAGTATTAAGCACCAACTTTTTTTAGAATCTTGATAATTTTTAAAATCTTTAGTGTTAGACAGAAGAACCATTCCCCTCTGTGACCTTAAGAACCCCTCAATGCCAATTGGCAGAGCACCCACCACACTGTAACTTATCAAGCCGGATGTACTCAATAACTAACACACCACTGTCAAAATATGTATCTAAAAGTTGCCAAGTAAAGTATCATATGTAAATGCTGGTCCAGAAAATCATTGTGTAATATATGCAAAGACATACAAGGGTTGTGTACAAAGAATTTTGATGTGCTGGAAACACGTTATTAAAATGTGTTTGGGAGGCAGTACATAAGCCTGACTGGTTTGACTGCAGGCAAAGAACAATGCAAGTACATTTACACAAGGTAAACATAGCAATCAAGTTAACAGTTTAATGATCACATCGGGGTCTACGCCTGCACCCCCAGGAAGCCTTTCTGTTTCTTGAGGCAAAGACAGTGGACTTCGGGGAGGAGCAAAAAAGACATTCTAGTTATCCATCATTTAGGGAGTGGCACCCTGCGATTCTGTGAAAGTTGGATCCCCTCACCTGGCAGGCTACAGATGCTGGCAAGTTGACGTAAGTGAGGAAACTGCTACGCAACGATTGTAACTTGCTAGAATTATACTGTAGTCACTAGAAAGCGTGTTTTATTTGTAACCATACCTGTCTTTTTTCTTGTACTTAATAGGACTTAAATATGTGTTTTTTTATTAATAAACTTATTCTTAGTTGTACGATAAACCATCACAGTGCTGTTATTTTGATATACAGAGTGAGTCCTCAGCTAATTTAACAGGCTGGTGTTTATACTGTCTCTTTGGAGGCAGCAAACTTAATTTCTGTGATTTTCCAGTGAGAGGGACTGGACACTACAGAGAGATGTTTCTGGTGGAACTCAGGACTCAGTTTAGACTGGCAGAGCCTGAAGGAGTTTGCTGACGAAGAGGACAGACTAATGGGCAGACAGCTGACACACTCTAATCTCCAGCAGGGCTCTCACTTGCGGAAGCAGAGGGGTAACCCAAAGGCTTCGAACAGAATGTCACGCCCTCTTCCTCAGGCTACCAAAGCACAGCTAAGTGGGTTTTGTTTGATTGCCTTACTTTCCCTAATAATCCCCAAGACACTCCTCGGTCCTACCTACAACTCCCATTTGTGCTCAGAAGCCATCAGTATGTTGGCTTCCATTGCCTCTAGTGTGATTTCATTGGCTTTGGAAATGCCAAAGTAAGTAAGGAACCTTACTATCAAAACAGGTAACCTCTCCCCACTCAACTTCCTCTATAGACTAGCATGAAGTAAGGTCAAACGAGATAAGAACAGAAAGGTTGGCTTTTTGGAGAAGCAAAAAGCAAAGAACTGCATTATTACAAATAAACGGAAACCTCACCAAAGGAGATATATACTAGGGGCCTGTTTCTTCTTTCAGACCAGCTCTGCACTGGTGCAAATCCATTGCTTCACTGGCTTTTGAACATTTGTACAAGGCCCAGACAGAAGCATTACAACAGCATCTTTAATCAGGAAATGCATTTGATTGTACCTCTCAAAACAAGGCAACCAAACTACCGTAACTGCCCCACAGGACCCTATTGCTCATAGTTTTGATATATGTTCACCATAGAAATCAGTTTTACACATACATGACTTATTACATATACTTCTTTGTCACTACTCTAAGCTTTTCCCTTTTCATGAAAATGTTCTAATAAGATATGGGCATATGAAGTTTGTGTGTGGATATATACTAGCTGTGCTTACTGACAGTTGGACAACTGGCCGCCACATGGAACTAGAGTCTGATCCTGCCTTAATGAGGAACAGGAATTTATCTTTGGCATACTATTTATCTAATCAGTTTATAAAAGTCATTTATGCATACTATGTATGGTCGTAAAGAAAGCAGTAAAGCAGTCATCATCAATGGATTCTAGGGTTTTTTTGTCACTGAAAAATTAAACTCATGACAGTTAACGTAATGTGGCTGTCTTATTTGCTCATCTGTAGCTGTGCTGTGGAGTGTTAAGGCAGTTTGAGTTGTCTGTGAAATACAAACTTAATTCTGCATTTCCTGATTCTCCAACGTTTAATTTATTTATTTTTTTAAACTTGGATGTTACTTAAATGTACCTACAACCTTAATTTCATCTTAACAAAGGTGCTTTGCGGAGGAATACAAGGGTTTAAGCACTTAAAGTTAAGTGCCTAAGATGGAAAAGTTATTAGAAGAATGGATTACTTGCTCTTCTCCCTGATCAGAAAACTCCCATAACTGAGTACAAGAGACTATGAAGGTAGAGTTTCCAGAAGTGCTGATACTTAAAAGCTGTACATTACAGCAAGCATTGAGGTGCAGAGGTAAGTTACACCAATGCACTGAAACAAAGCTCTGGGGGGAGGCAGAAGGACTGCAGGAACCAAAGGGCAAGGAAACTGGAGTTTAGTGATAATTCTGGGCCAAGGAAGACCTTGACAGAAAGAAATAAAAAATCACCACACCACACCACACCCACAAGCAGATTTGACTGGAAGCTAGAAAACATTAAAAGAAAAAATACCCAAAGCAGGATGAAGCCGGATAGGTTGGAGAAGTCTGCTCCCATGGGGAGCTCTTTCACTGACTAGAGCAGGGATCGGCAACCTTTGGCACGTGGCCCGCCAGGGTAAGCTCCCTGGCAGGACGGGCTGGTTTGTTTACCTGCCGCATCCACAGGTTCGGCCAATCACAGCTCCCACTGGCCGCAGTTCACTGCTCCAGGCTAATGTGGGCTGCGGGAAGTGGCATGGGCCGAGGGATAGAGAACTGAATTTCTTCAGTCAGAATTTTATTATCTTGTAGAGATGTATTTTTAGATCCTAACCATGACAGCACATGATCTTATGAAGTGTCTTATTGCTTACCAGTCAATCGTCCAAGGTAAGTACCTATGAGGTATTAGTACACTTCATGGAGGGGGGGGAGGGGAAAAGGAGAGAGAATTATGAGAAGGACAAGTTATTCTTAGACTGTACATCTAACTCTGCAGATGTGCAGTACTTTTTCACACTGTTGGTGCAGCAGAGCAGGGCTAGACAACACGGTGAGGAAAAAAAGCATAACCTACACTAACTCTTCCACCATTCCTACAACCAGCACTAGTTCAGTAGTGGGAAGAGTACTAGTGTAGGCAACCCCACAAAAAGCAGTTCTCTCCTCCATACCTCTACGGTGAGATTCCAGTAGAAACTCCTTTAGCTACTTTTTTGGCCCCCTGGCATTTGTGGCACAGAGTTGCCCATCTGCTGGTGACAATTACTGAACAGATGGCTGTTTAAATTCTCTTAAAAAAAAAAAAAAAAGCAATTCAGGTCAGAAGTAACAGGCCAGCCAACTCTCCAATAAGATTTTTCCCTCAGTGAAAAAGCAAAGATTGCCGGGCACCATTATAACTGCAAGCAGGACTCAGAAAAATGGAGATTCAACCCCTGGGTATTTTGAAAACTGTCATCTGTTCAGGACATCTTTGGAGAGTTTATATCACAGGTGATATTTTTGTGAAGTGCTCTAAAAGACTTATGCCACATTTCAGATCTAGATAACATGAAAGTTACAAAGTCTGCTTCTTTGGCCTAAAATTGTAGGGTGGAGGAAATCCAATAAAAGCCACAAATAAGGATTCCCATTCTAAAACTACAAGAGATAAGCAGTAAACTGCATGATCTTCTACTAACCATTAAAATACCACAGGCTCTTAGTGAAGAGCTACCTCATACTTTGTAAAGTTGCTTTCAAAGTTGCTTTGCAAAGTTGCTAGACAACACTGAAAATTTACTTTTTACCATTGTTCATTTTACCCATATACACAATATTAATATCTGATTTAATATCAATAGCAATTTTAATTACCTCTTCAATGGCTCTCTGTCTTTTGTCTTCCATCTCTTTATCTATTCTAAACAATGCAAATGAAAAAAAAACCAATAAATTACCAATGCCATTACTGAATTTGATGGTTCAAGTAAATGAAAAGTACCATTTTTATAGAAGATTAAGATTAGCTGTCTTTTAAAATAAATCACAATTTACTCTATGTATAGTATTCGTAATGTGCTGTGTGCAATTCCTTTGTATTCAAAATAGATAAGTGTGTATTGTACGCAGACAATTAGCAACTTTAAAGAAGGAGTTCCCACCCCGGGCAATTTTGTAATATTTTATACAGTAAGTGATTTACTTTGTAATCTTCTGTATATTCCTTTTACTATTATGAAAGAGATTTCTAGTTGACTGATATCTGTCTTGCTCATAATACAGCTTCTCTTTTCACCTAAATCTCTGATTTTGAATGCTTCTATAAGCAACTTTTAAAATTACTATAAAATAGACTTAAAGAGAAACTCACTCTAGGATCAAGCAAGACAAGGAATTTGACCATAAGGAAGAAAGCTCTTTAAACAGAAAAAAAGTAAAACCAAAATGGAAAACAAATGAAGGAACTTGTATAGATTTGACATTATCTACTTCTTCCCCAACGAAAGGTTTCCTCTTCAAGTGGCTTATAAACCCACCTTATCCCAGCCCAACGCAATAATCACATCAAATATCTGAGTTAAGATTTTTTTTTAAAACAATCTCTAACACTAAATAGGCAATTCCAAAAGTAAGCTTGTATTAAATGGTATTTCCCCTAGTTCAAATATTTCTCACCCATATTCAAATGATTTGTTCAGCTTTGCACAAATGGTACAGTTTCCTTTTTGTGTCACCATAACTGATAAAGCTTCACTATACCAGTCCTTAGGAGGCTTATAAATGACAACCAAAGAAATTCATATTAATAACATAACTTTTGAAGAACAGCAGAGGCATAAAAATATTTATATGGAAGTTATATGTGAATAATCTCTTCAGACCACATAAATTACATATTTAGAAAGGACTGGGTACAGCATTTGGATAAGTGATAGAACTATTAATTAGTATAAAATTCATAGATGTCCTGGTGATACCTCTTTTTCCCCCCCAAAAGGGGTCAGTCATGGCTCTGACTAGACTTGCAATATGTCAATATACAAAAAAGGTACCATCTACAACTAAGAGCTTATGATACTGCTAAGTTGTTAGAGTGCACAAGTCCAGAATGAAGATAACATAGCAAAAGAACAGGCCAGGCACCTTCACTTGTCATTTATTCGTAAGTACAAATGATCACAAAAACAAGTATCCCTGCAGGTCAGACTGCAAAGCCGAAACATGGGGACTGAAAAGGCAGCATCTAGTTAAGAGAAGAGTGAGATTCATAACATTAAGTGCAAGTGTAAGTGCTTTTTCTTTGGGCAGTGAGTTTGGAAAGTGCAAAGGCAAAAACAACATATGTAGTTGGCACCTAAAATATCAATCCTGTATTAAGCCATGGTCAAAATGCAACACTTGCACAGTATTCATGTTGCTATGTGGTTTTTTGAACAGCAGATACTTCATACCGTATCATCTAATCTGAAAACATCCAGCGAAAAATGAAGAGGAAGAAAGCCAGGAGACTGGCCTAGGACACCCCAAGCAAATTTTGTACCAAATATACAGTAAGAATTACAAGAGACAAACAAGTGTGTTCTGGGTCTTTCAGCTTGAACTCATCAGCTGATAGAATACTACAGCGGAATTTGGGAATAGTTGAAGTTGCTAATACTGATCTCAGAAACCTGTAATAAGTTGCCATTTATGCACAGAATAGGCAAATGTGTCCATGCTCACTTGAAAGTTTCCTTTCTTTGAGTAATAAGGTCTACATATTTGTTACAATGGTACTTTAGCCTTCTAGCAGCTTGGAGACAAAACCACACCAGTCAGTCACTGGCAGCAGAGGATTATCTTAACTATGCCATGAGGAAAAAGGACAGTTTCTCTTGATGAGCTGAAATAGCTCAGTTGGGAGAGCATTAGACTGAAGATCTAAAGGTTCCTGGTTTGATCCCGGGTTTCAGCAGATGATTTTGGGATAGCTCGGTGGTTTGAGCATTGGCCTGCTAAACCCAGGGTTGTGAGTTCAATCCTTGAGGGGGCCATTTAGGGATCTGGGGCAAAAACTGAGGATTGGTCCTGCTTTGAGCAGGGGGTTGGACTAGATGACCTCCTGATATTCTGATTCTATGACACACAGTACTTGTCATGCTCAAATACTCTTACCTAGGGAGGTGGTGGAATCTCCTTCCTTAGATATTTTTAAGGTCAGGCTTGACAAAGCCCTGGCTGGGATGATTTAGTTGGGTATGGGTCCTGCTCTGAGCAGGGGGTTGGACTAGATGACCTCCTGAGGTCCCTTCCAACCCTGATATTCTATGATACAGCATATTCAACCTAACAAGAAACAAATTCTTGAATGTCAAATTCCATCTTTCTCCTGGATGATCCATTTGTCTCCAGATTGGTCCAGATCTGTGGACTTACTAATTATTCAAAGAAAGGAAATTTCAAGAAAAAGCATGGCAAAGGTTCCCTATTCTTTGTCATGCTAAGATTCAAAAACCTGGTACAGTAGGATTGTCATAGCAGCAAGCCTCCAGGGTAAGAGGCAGGATTAGTCTTTAAATATGGGGATCCAAAACAAGGTAAATGTATATGATATTCTCCACCTTCCCCTGGGCTCAAAGGCATGAAGAAGGCTTTTGCCAAAAGAAAGGAAGTTGCATCGGCTAATATTGGACAACCACTATTATTCCTGGGGGAAAATATGTTCTGCTGGAAAGGCAATGCAGTTACATCTTTCACTCACCAGGGGCTGCTGTAGCACCAGAAGAGAGGACAGCAGGCTCATGGTCCTGAGCAGCCAGCTGTGGATAAGGAGGGCCTGATGCTGCATTTCTCACAGCAACATGCCTGCAGGGCCAGATGAGATGTCACGGGATATTTGGGCGGGGGAGGAAGGAGGGAAGGGGAGAGGAGAGAGCGGACAGAGCAGGGCACAAAGGGTCAGAGGTTCAGAAGGGCAAGAGGGGGGGACAGACGGTGGAAGGGTCATAGGAGCTAGTGGGGTGAAAGCACTAAGCCAGGGGCTGAATGGGAAAGGGGTGAAGGGCCACAAGGGACAGGGAGGGGGGGTGGCAGAGGTGGAGGTGCAGGGCCACATGGGGACAAGGGCAGATGCGCCGGACTGAATGGGAGAGGCTAGGGGTCAGCCAGGGTCTGCATGGGGAATGGTCCCCAATTCCTTAACACTCCCCTCACCCCAAAAAGTGCCATACTTCTCTCACCCACACCCAACAACCCTCCAGGTTCATTCCCAGGCTCCTTCCCAGCAATTACTTCCCTGTACCTCAGCTCCTCCTTTACTCTTGATTCCCCCAAGCCTTTGCACTGCTTCTGAGGGGTGCAGGAAATACATTTCTATATTGTAGTTTAAATGAATTATTACTCAAAGTTCTGAATTAATATGCCTAGTAAGGAATCTATTTGTCAAAAAACATTTCCTGAATTTTTTGTTTTATGTATTGTAACAGACATGCCTGCTGACAGGTATTTTGAAATAAATTACCAAAATAATTGAAACCGGTGTGATTATAGTTTTATTTTGACAAATAAAATATGCAGAATTTTAAAATATAGTGCACAGAATTTTTAATTTTTTGGCACAGAATTCCCCCAGGGGCACAATATGCTACTCTGAAAAGAGACGGTCAGTGCTCCTAAGAACTGGACTTTGACACTTAAGATGGAATATTTATTGAATTTACTCAAGGGAACAAAAACTGACAGCAACAGTTATGAGGACTCATTTTCATCATCATCACTCCCATAACCACACTGGTCATTGGGGCACCATCACTGATGAGCAATCAACCAACTGTCTCCACCCCTGACAAATGTGTGTCACTGCTTGAGTCTCCGCAAAGTCCATTCCTGTCCACTCTTTTATGTTGTCAATCCATCTTTTCTTCTGTCTACCTCTTTTTCTCTTCCCCCTGTAATGTCCCTTGGAAGATGATCTTGGATAGGCCAGATGATCTCATTACATGGCCATATCACTTTAGCTTGTGCTTCTTCATGGTCATCAGGAGGTCTTCATATGACCCAGTGCATTGGGTGATGATATTGCGGACCTCTTTATTAGTGACGTGGTGGAAGTAGGAGATGCTTAGGATTTTACGGAAGCATCTCATCTCTACCACCCGTATTTTCCGTTCAAGTTCTGCAATAAGGATCCATGTCTCTCAGGCACACAGAAAAATGAAGATGACCAATGCGTGCAGCAGTTTCAGTTTGGATTCCAAGGAGATGGTCTTATTCCTCCAAATTGGCTTTAGCTTTGCCACTGCTGCTGTTTGAGCAGTTCTTGCCCAAATTTCTACCTTGGATCTTTCATCAGTGATGACTGCCCCCAAATACTTTAACTGTTTCACCGTCTCCAGCTCTTGTCCACTGCCAGTGATATGTGAACTGATCCCATCATGTTTGTCTGTCATCAGCTTGGTTTTTTCTGCACTGATTTCCATGACATATTTTGCAGAGGTTTCATCCAATCGTTTCAGAAGGTTGGTAAGTTCATCTTTGCTGCCTGCCAGGCCATCAATGTCATCAGCGAACCGAAGATATGAGAGATTGTTCACCCCCCCAATGCTGACTGTGCATATGTGATCTTCTAGGGCATCAATCATTATGCACTCCAAGTAGAAGTTGAACAGTGTGGGCGAAAGAAGGCAGCCTTGCCAGACTCCAACAGCGGTGCAAAACCACTCTCTTATTGTGCCATTGATGAGAACTGCATTGCTGGCCTTGGCATACAGTTGTTTAATGGTAAGAATAAGCTTACGACCAACATTGTACTTCTTCATGGTTGCCCAGAGAGCTTCATGCCATACTCTGTCAAATGGCTTCTTGAAGTCAATAAAGATGGGGTAGCTATCCTGCTGGTATTGCAAGTACTTCTCACATTGTGCACGAAGGTTGAAAATCTGTTCTGTGGTACTTCTTCCAGCACAAAAGCCAGCCTGTTCTTCAGCGATGATATTGTCTGCTTGTGGCTTTAATTTGTTCAATATGACTTTCAACATCACTTTGCTGGGATGGCTAATTAAGCTTATGGTCCAGTAATTTTGACACAATTGCAGGTTGTCTTTCTTTGGCAGAGCGATGATTAGTGACTGTGCCCACGTGGGGAGCCACTCACCGGTCTGGTGAGTACTATCTATTACTATTTCTCCTCTGAATTTCATCAGTTCAGCTGGGATGTTGTCAATACCGGTACCCTTTCTATTCTTGAGTGATTTCATAGCTGTCTCCACTTCTTTACATAGTATTGGAAAGTCATCCTCCTCTGTTGAATCTGGGCTGCCTAAGACACTAGGATCTCCCTTTGTATGGTGATTGTATAGATCAGAGCAGTAGTTTATCCACCTATTGATGATGTTGCTTTCTTCTGTAAGACTGTTCCCTTCTTTGTCTTGAATTGCGTTCGCTTTGGCTCATGTTTCCTTCGTCAGAACTTTTACAACTTGGAAGGCTTGTTTGCTATTTTTATTATTGATACACTCTTCAATTTTAGAGCATTGTTTTTCAATCCGTATCTCCTTGGCCACTTTCATTCCTTTCTTGATCTTTCTGCCAATCCCTCTGTATTTATCAGCTCCCTCAGTGCTGTTCTTGTCTTAAGTTTTCTTCTAATGTCACAGATTTGTAGTATTTCATTTGTGACCCATTGTTTTGTCTTCTTTTGATGTTTCCCAAGGATGTCCATTGTTGCCTCATTCATTACAGTGTTGAAATTGTTGATCATTGTTTCTACATCTTCCTCTACAGCAAGCAGAGGGGCAAATTTTCCGCCGATCATTGCTTGGAATGACTCTGTAATGTTTTGGTCTCCAAGTCTAAGTCAAACTTGGTTCTGATGAACTTTGGCCTAATGATTTTTCTTAGCCACAGCCAAAAATTTAGCTTTATAAGGTTGTGATCACTTCCAATATCAGCACCAGGGAAGCTCCTTGTTTTAGAAGCCTGTTAATCCTAGAACGAGATCGGTTTTGCACCATGATGTAGTCGATTGGGCTGTGATGTAGACCATTAGGTGCATGCCATGTTGATTGTCTGGATTCTTTATGTGCTCCTAATGTGTTTGCAAGAACCAGATTGTTATAGTTGGCAAACTACAAAAGTCTCAATCCTCTCTCATTGGTTACCGCATTACAGAAAGGACCACAATAATCTCTCCAATCTGCCTGCGCATCAGTAGCCACTTTAGCATTCCGATCTCCTTGTACAATCAGGATATCTTTCTTGTGTACCTTATTGATGTCTTGCAGCTGATTGTAAAAATCTTCAATTTGCTCATCGTCATAGTCTGCTGTAGGGGCATAGACTTGTACCACTGTGATATTAAACGGTACTGCCTTTAGATGGATGGAAATAAGCCTGCTGGACATTGGGTGGCATCCTAATACTGAACTCTTGATATCTTTATGCACAAGAAATCCTACGCCATTGACATGTTTTTCCTCTCCCACTGTAATAGAGTACATGACCTTCTTCTATTAGTACCTCTCCAAAGTTCTTCCATCTGACCTTAGAGATTCCTAGGAGGTGACAGGTGTATTGTTCCATTTCATACGTGAGTTCTTTCAACCTCCCTGTTTGTCTCAATGTCCTTACATTCCATGTGGCTATGATGAGGATATCTCTTCCACAAATCTGCTTTGTTGGGGTTACACCGATAGTTTACTTGTTGCGTCTGCCCTGATGGGAGACAGATGGCGTGGTCATAATTAACCCAGGCTATGATCAATCCGGTATGGACATCATTGACTTACTCATCATATGGTGCGTCTTGGGCAAATTTCTAACCTGGCAGAGCCCATCCCAGTCCAGGCAGCCCCCTTTTAGTCGCCTCTTACAACACGTAGGAGCAGTGAGCCTATTCTGTCCCTGAACCCACAAGGGATTTGTGAGGACTACCTGTCTGAATTAAAAGTATAATACTGGGTTTCAGTGAAAAAGGTTTCTGTTTTCAGATTAAAAAAACAAAAACCAAAAAAAAAAAAAAAAAGAAAACCTCAACAAAAAAAAAACCCACCTTCATCTGACTGGAGCTAATAACCTTTCAGAAGCCTACCCTAATGGACAAGGAGTATAACACCACCTCCTGCAAGGGGTGGAATCTGGGAAGTGCTGTAAGAAACAGAATGAGGTTCCAAAGTTGTGTTCTATGACTTTACAGAGCTGGAATAAGGTTAATTCTCTAAGGAATTACTTAATGTTGGGATTTGTTCAAGGAGAGGAAGTTTTGTACATATTAAGAACATTTTACTATGGAGACGCGACCTTTTTGCATTGACAATCATACACCCAAATTAAGGCCCTTCTGAAGGAATCCAAGGTTATGTTTCACATGTTAAACTATGGCTTTGCACCAGAGAACAGAATAGCTGTATTTCCCCCCTCTTTTTCTTCTCTTTTGGGGTCCAGGAAAATACTTTATCTATGTATTCATTTTAAACCTATCTGGTCCCAGATGGAGAACTGGTTTTGCAGTAGCTCCAGTGAGATACTGGATCTTCTGATGTCTCGGCTAGGTTAATCAAGCCTGAGAGTCATAGGCTCTTCACTCAGAAAGGCATAAAGTAATAACACTACTGCTCCTTCATGCTGAGGCAGCTCTGGAAAAGGTGGAAAGATGTATAGGAGGAACCTTGCTCAGCTTTGAGATGTCTTTCACTACTTTACATCCCAGTTCCTTATACTCAAAGGCATCACAGGGCACTTTTACTGTTTTCAGATGCAAAAGGGCTGACCTGGACCAGCCCACCAAATTGACTTGTAATAGTAAGATATTTCAATGTATAGTAGCTATTTTGATAATCCGACTATGGAGTTGACCTAAATGTGTTTTCCCAATGAGAAAACCCTATCAGACACATACACTATTGCAAGCAGAAGAGGCCTGTTATCCATGGTAGGAGCAGACCTTAATCAATCATTGTGTTCCGGGATGATGTCCTCTCTTTCTGATACCCATTCCCTGAACTGAATCAGGAAGTTCTTTAAAAAAAAAAAAAAAAATCATCTCTGCATTTACCAGTGTGGGGAGTGGAAAATATATGACACAAGCTAGCTCTGTCAATGGATGAGATAAGGCAAGATGTGGAGGGGATACCTGGAATTACTGGATAGGTATATGAACTCTGAATCACTTAGACATGCCTATGTATGAAATCAGAATTGTTCCAAAGCGAGAACTTGTACCTGTGATAGTACTCACTCTCTGCCCAGGCCTACGACTGACTTCCTGGGCACCATGGTCTTTGTCCTAACCCAAGATACTCCAGAAACCATATCACTCTGTATTTGTTTTATCTTTCTCTCTACAGAGTGATAAGGGCACAGCAGGCTCAGGGGAGGGGACGGGAAGGGGTGCAGTGGGAGCAGGGCCTGTGGCAGAGCCAGGGGTTGAGCAGTGAGCAGCCCCCAGCATATTGGAAAGTTGGCACCTGTAGCCCCAGCCCTGGAGTCGGTGCCTATACAAGGAGCTGCATATTAACTTCTGAGGAGTCGCATGTGGCACTGGAGACACAGGTTGGCCACCCCTGTATTAGATAAAGAATGTTGAATATTTATATGAACATGAATAAAACAGCCATGCATATAAGGATAGCTTTCTAGTATTCAAATTTCAGTTCAGTTCACTGCATAAAATAAAAAGCAACTTACCTGGCATGACTTAAATACATTGCCTGACGCCGAATATCTTCAGAGTCAATTTCAACAGGATTTATTAGAGCAAGTTGATCAATAGACCACCTAAATTTTCCTGGAGTCTGAGAAAGGAATGAACATCACAGTGAAGTATGCAGCGCTTACTATTCTAAACAGACAGAATCAAAAACACAGAATACATATCTTTAAAAAGAAGCCACATTGGAGCCAAAACCTCCTTATATAAATGAGCTAAAACAACAGTAATTGTTTCAGCCAGCTAAGTGAGCTACTTAAACTTTAAACTACAGAATCAGACCAACTGACCTTGTAATCTATTTTTATTTAATGATCATTAATAGATTGCAATTGTATGTAACATGAAACAAAGCATAGCATATTTAGCATTTACAGAGTACTTTGCATCTTAAAAGCACTTTACAAACATTAAAACCTCACAAAACCTCCATAAGAAAAGTATTATCGCACTTTTACTGATGGGAAAATTGAGGAAGAGAATGTATGTGACATCACTTGTCTAAGATCACACAGAGTTAGTGTCAGAGCCAAGATTAAAACAGAGTGCCTAATTTTCTAGTCCCATGCTCAGTCCACTAGATCAAATTGCCTCCCAATGCTCAAGACTTCTACACCCGTAGTCATATCACCTCTTCCTATAAGGAAATTTTAAAAGTAGAATAAAGCTTGGCCAATATTTGGATGGAAAACCTCAAATTGTTACAGAAACGAATTTAGGGATTCAGAAGGTACGGTCCTTCCAGAAATTGAGCATGACGTTTAAAGGTTCTATACTGCTAGCAGTGCATTCTTTAAGATACATGTAAAACAGAGATCCAGATCCCCTGTGGTAAGAAATTCATGATACACCCACATCCATACAATTGTGGGTAATATCCCCAAGGACCTCGTCACGTTCCAGTTTGGGAAATTATATTCCATCTACCTAAATTTTTTTGTGTTTCAATGGACTAAAGTTTTCTTCACTGCATGTCAAACTAATACTGCTTCTTCAAAGTGATGATTTTACTCCAGTGTCCTGGAATTTATGGACAAATGATCCAGATAAACCAGAGAATGGGAAAGTGCAATGCTACAGCACCATATAGCAGCCACAAGAGAGCTAGCTCCCTTTCTGGATATGTGCATGCTGGTTGTCAAGGAGAGCCAAATAATGGAGTGTCGGATGAATAGGGTTCTACTGTATATAGATATAAACAATTTACACAGGACTTCAAGGCCTTCACATGATAAAAGTGCAAAATAATAAAAAGAGGAATGTAAAATATCATCATCTCTAAAGATTTTGTATTCAATCTGCTTGCGTCACAAGCCTAGAACAAGAATTACTCCAGACAGAGCACCTATTTAGACAATGACTAACTCTAACAAGTGGTCTTCATTCCTCCTTTTCCTCAAGAATTTGATTAGCATCAAATAGCTACAAATAGCTTTTTGCATTTAGTATGTATGTTAACGCAATGTTATCCTTAATATTTTAAAAACAATTTAGTCATACTGCTAAGTGACATCTGAGTTGTAGCAGTAGGTTTCCTTTAGTATTAAGAAGGTTGTAAGGAACTATGCTACTTAGTCTTGCTTAAATTCTAGTAAAAACTATCTACACATTTAAGAAATGATAAATTAGTATTTGGAAGTATTAATATTGCCTCTGACATTGTACTAGATATTAAATCTTACTGATGAGGATTTTGTTGATTTAAAGACGGAAGGACTGGAAACAATCTGCTCCTGTAGACTATAGTAATCACTTGGACTTTCAAAGGGGTTTAGGACAGCAGCCCGTCCTGGAGTCTTTGGTGTTATTTGCATTTTAGTTTCTTTTGCATCTCCCATAGCACAGAGCTGCACCTAGAAGAAAATAATTTTTTAGTGACAATTTAAGAAGTTACATTTTTCATTTTGAGTCACCCTTAGTTTTAGGAAAAGACAAGAAACCATATCATTTTTCGGTTTGTCAAGCGATTAAAAAAATTGATCGTGTTTAATCTCTCGATTAAAAATAAATCGTGATTAATTATGCAATTAATCATGCTGTTAAAGAATAACAGAATACCATTATTTAAATATTTTTGGATGTTTTCTACATTAAATATATTGATTTCAGTTACAACACAAAATACAGTGTACAGTGCTTACACTAAATATATATATATATTTTATTTCAAATATTTACTCTGTAAAAAAACAGAAGAAACAGTATTTCAATTCACCTAAGTACTGTAGTGAAATCTCTTTATCATGAAAGTTGAACTTACAAATGTAGAATTATGTACACAAAGTAAGTGCATTCAAAAATAAAACAATGTAAAACTTTAGAGTCTACAAGTCCACTCAGTCCTACTTCTTGTGCAGCCAATCGATAAGACAAACAAATTGGTTTATATTTGCAGGAGATAATGCTGCCTGCTTCTCGTTTACAATGTCACCTGAAAGTGAGAACAGGCATTCACACAGCACTGTTGTAGCCAGCGTCACAAGATCTTTACATGCCAGATGAGCTAAAGATTCATATGACCCTTCATGCTTCAACCACCACTCTAGAGGACATGCTTCCATGCTGATGATGGGCTCTGCTCAATAACGATCCAAAGCAGTGCAGCCTGACATGTTCATTTTCATCATCTGAGTCCGATGCCACCAGCAGAAGGTTGATTTTCTGTTTTGGTGGTTTGGGTTCTGTAGTTTTCTCTTTTAAGACTTCTGAAAGCATGCTCCACACCCCATCCCTCTCAGATTTTGGAAGACACTTCAGATTCTTAAACCTTGGGTCAAGTGCTTTAGGTATCTTTCGGAATCTCACATTGGTACATTCTCTGCGTTCTGTCAAATCTGCAGTGAAAGTTTTCTTAAAACTAACACCATGTGCTGGGTCCTTATCCGAGATGGCTAGAACATGAAATAAATGGCAGAATGCCAGTAAAAGAGAGGAAGAGACATACAATTCTCCCCAAAGAGTTCAGCCACAAATTTAATTAACGCATTATTTTTTTAAAGAGCATCATCAGCCTGGAAGCATGTCCTCTGGAACGGTGGCCATAAAGGAGCATGCTAATGTTTAACATACCTGGCACATAAACATCTTGCAATGCCAGCTACAAAAGTGCCATGAGAACACCTGTTTTCACTTTCTGGTGACACTGTAATAAGAAGCAGGCAGCATTATCTCCTGTAGAGATAAACAAACTTGTTTGTCTTAGCGATTGGCTGAACAAGAAGTAGGACAGAGTAGATTTGTAGGCTCGAAAGTTTTACATTGTTTTGTTTTTGAGTGCAGTTAGGTAACAAAAAAAAATAATTTATATTTGTAAGTTGCACTTTCACGACAAAGGGATTGCACTACAGTACTTGTATAAGATGAATTGAAAAATACTATTTCTTTTGTTCATCATTTTTACAATGCATAAATTTGTAATAAAAATAATATAGTGAGCACTGTACACTTTGTATTCTGTATTGTAACTGAAATCAATATATTTGAAAATGTAGAAAAACAATCTAAAATATTTATACATTTCAATTGGTATTCTATTGTTTAACTGTGTGATTAAAACTGGAATTAATTCTTTTAATCACAATTTTTTTTTGAGTTAATTGCATGACTTAACTGTGATTGATCAACAGCCCTTATAATTTTTGAAGAAGCACTAACATCCCACAGTCTAGTCAGGTTGAAAAAAGTCTGAGAAGTAGTTTCAGATTTGAGGTATCAGGCTCAGCTATGAGAGGCAGACACACAGAGGTACAGGGAAGTGCAAGGAAGATAAGATGAAGAGCAAAAACTTAGTACCTATCAAAATGAGAGTTAATGAGTACAAAGTCAAGAGAAAGGACAGAGATAGAAAGGAGAGATCAAGTTTCAAAAGACAGCTCTTATTTTACTGAAGGTTTCAGAGTAGCAGCTGTGTTAGTCTGTATCCGCAAAAAGAGAAGGAGTACTTGTGGCACCTTAGAGACTAACAAATTTATTTGAGCAAAAGCTTTCATGAGCTACAGCTCACTGCATCCGATGAAGTGAGCTGTAGCTCACGAAAGTTTATGCTCAAATAAATTTGTTAGTCTCTAAGGTGCCACAAGTACTCCTATTTTACTGAAGTGTTTCTGAAGGCATTAAGAATTTGGAGATACCACTCAAAAAGTTGCTTCACACAAAGAAAATCATCTTAAAAGGAACTGCTCAATGTAACTGAAACATTTTTTATGATTAAGTGAAAGAGACACGTAAGCCACCTGAAAGAGACAGATGTCTGTTTGGTGCCTGGAGTTTCAGAAAAAGGAATATAATCAGAACAGTGCAAACAGGAGGGAGTAGCAGGAAAGTAGAGCAAGACAGACAGCAGGAGTTAGGTAGCAGAGCTTTTAGACAGCCAACTGGGTACTCATCTGTTACAGAAGAGTAATTAAGCACTTGAATGATTTATCAAATATCTACGGGGGGGGGGGGGGGTTAACGACTTACTTACTCACTAAGCACCCCTACAGGAAAGTGGCGATGCTGACTTTCCTACCAGGGATTTACTTTTGTTCAGCAGCCATGTGATCTCCTAGAAGGATCTTGCCAGGCCAGGGGATGAGAAGCCTGCACTGGTGTCCACACTGCCTGGTTCCTCGCGGTTATTTATTGACATTTTGGGGGTAGAACTGGGGCAAAAGAAGTTTCCTAGCGTCTAAGGCCATTCGATCATCTAGTCCAACCTCCCGTCTGCCACCAGCCATTAGTCCGAGGAAAGTCTCTCTACTCTTTCTCCCAACAACTCCCTGCTCCCGCGCCCCCCTCCCGCCGCGAAGAAACTCACAGCCTTGCCCGCTTGTCGGAGCCGCAGCGAGAAACTCACAGCCTTGCCCGCTCAGCTCCGTCGCCGGTTCCCCGTGAAAGCAGCCGCCTGGCGGAGCCCGCCCGGCGAGCCGCGAACGCCAGCAGAGGCACCGCGCTCCCCGCGGACTCGGGGCCCAAGTTAACGACAAGCTTCTCCTCAGCCGCAGGCTGACTCGGACTCAGACTCGGCCTGTCAGAGCCTCACGGGAGCGGGTAGCTACCTCCGCCGTTGGGTACCTGTTCAGCCACCGTTGAGCTGGGGCGGGCAGCACCGGGCGCGCCTCGCCGCTTTCACTCCGGCGGCAGCATCCCTGGCTTGGCTACTGCTTCCTCACGCGTCCGCGCCAGCCCGGGAGGCTCTTTAACTGCCACGCCCCCTTTCCCCGTGGCTGCCCAATCGCCGCGCGTCCATTCTCATGCCCGGCCAATCGCGGCTCGCCGTCGCTCTCGAACGGACCAATGAACACTGGGCCACTTCACAAATTCGAACCGGTTCCTCCTCCCACCTCTCCGGTTGTTAAGCGGGCAGGCTCTATTCAAACTAATACGGCGGGTGGGGCGGGGCTTGAGGGCGACAGAGGGAGGTCAGGCAAGGACGGGCAACCGCGCGTGCGTGGTGAGGTTTTTCTGTTGGGGCGGGAATGTTTGAACGCGAGGGAGAGGGTGTCTGTTTCCGGGTTAGAGGTCTCGCGCTGAGTGGTCCTCTGTCGCCATGGCGAGCGGCGCAGCCAATTTAAACGCGGTGAGAGAGACGATGGATGGTGAGTCCCAGGAGGCCGCTTGTGGGTTTTGTTGCGGCCGCCTCGGGTGTCCGACCCGTGCAGCTGCCGTTGGGGTCGGTGTGTGACCTCGATGGGCGGCGGCGGCGTTCCCGGGCCTCAGGAGATCCCAGCGGGGTCCCCCTTTGCCTGAGGCACGTCTCCCGCCTCTCCCCCCCCCCACCCCCCCGGTGTGTTCTGTACGGGTCTGGCAGCGTGACCGTAGCCCGGGCTTCCGTTGTCGCGACCTATCGCAGCGGCGGCGCCCGGAGGCCTCCGTCACGGGCGGGCCCTGAAGCGCTAGGGGACGTTGTACGAGCCTGCGATTGGGGCCCGGCTCCGGGGCCGCGGCGCAGCCGTTAAGGACGGCTACGAGCGGGCGGGAGGCTGAACTGAGGCGGCCGAGGAGCCAAGCGTGGCAGTGACAGGGAGCGCGCTCCCGTGGTCTCTGCTCTCTCTACGGGCCGCTGCTGAGAGAAGAACAAAACCACGTTCGCATGGGGCGGGGGGAGAAATCAGCGTTAATATCCGGCTCTCCAGAGAGCCAGGGGTTTCTCCGAGTGAGGGTTTCCGCCAGCGCCCATGCTGTGTGTGTGTGTGTGAGAGATGACAGTGTGAGGCTCTCGCTGCCTGGATTTTATTTTCTCTCTTAAATGACATGATGCACAAGTCGACTCTGCAATGTAAACCGTAAGCAGTTGTCAGATATTGGTGGCTGCGGATTGGTCACCTTCAGGAGCAGATTGGTTGTGAGAATTGACAAGAAAAATGGCATTTTCTAGCTCCATTATTTTCATTTTGTGTGTTCAGTTATGTCCGCTCGCTATTGACAAGAATACATTTGTCTACACTAGCCCTGCAGAGCCCACAAAAGAGAATGTGAATTGGGTTCTGTTCCTTTTTACCCAGCAGGATTATTTTCAAACTCAATTTTGAAGGATTTTATGTGCAATATGATTATTGTCAATCAGGCCCAAATTATACACGTTTAACTCTATAAAACTGCAATTACTAGCTTTGTGTAATTTGGTGATAATGCACAAGTGGGACAGAACATGATTCAACTTTAGTTCTATTCCCTGGCTGTAAATTTAGGAATGAAAGAAAATGTATCCTTCTAGATTTAGTTAAGTAATGTAGGACCTGAAGATGTTTTGTTTGTTTGTTTTTTTGTTTTTTGCACAAAGTCACTTTTCAAAGTAAAACTAGAATTGAATGTTGCACTGATGCTAACACTTTTAATAAAACTACTTCCCCCTCTCCCCTCCTCCCCCGTCAGGAGTAAGATACAGGAAAATAATTGAAGATGATTTCCTTCATTTACTGTAATTGTGTTTGCAGTGGCTGCAAATGAAACACAAGTTCTTTTTCTTAAACACTGATATATAAACTTTTTTGGGGAGGGAAACAAATGTTAGCATGAAAATGGAAAACTTAAATACCCTTTAATTCAAGCTTTTTCATTACTACTATGATAAGAATATTTGGTGATGTCTTGGAATGCATAGGCTCGATGCTCTGGAACCACTCAAAATGAAGTTCAGACAGTACCCTCTGGTGGCATGATACTCCTCAGGGCACACTCTCACTAGGACAAGCCTCCTTTCCTTCAGTGCTTCCTTGGGTCTGACCTCTGAGTGTTCAGCACCTCTGCTCACAGTGTGAGCTCCTCACATTGAGTCCACTTGGGCAGGACACCTAGGAAAGCCTTCCATCGCCCCTCCCAATAGGGGCCATGCACTCTATCTTTGCAGTTATAAGTGACTCAGCCAGTGAGGTAAAACAGAAGGGTGTATTAGTTGACTGGGACACAGTGTTGAACAGATCTTGTTAGTACAGAAACTCAGCAATGTCCATCTTGGGGAATCCAGAGCCCTTGGCTCTCCTGTGTGAGTCCCAAAAGGAGACTGATTCATTTCCAGCAGCCAACCCTCAGTCATGACTAGTTGCTCCTCCTCCATCCTTTGTCTCTTTCCCAGGTCTCCACCTCTCACTTTGTTCTCTAATATCTCCAGCTGGCTCTTGCAGACGATGGGCCCTGGCTATCAGTTGCCAGGATACAGTGTCAGTTGTTGTCTGGGCCAGGCAGCAAGAGGGCAGTTACACCTGCGCTCTAGGGGTCTGCAACAATCACACACACCCTTGTACCATCACCTAGATACATAGGGGAAATTGAGGAACACACACAGTATTCAGACAAAACATTAAAAACATTCCCAGTTCATCACAGAGGGCATATTTCTTTTTGCGTTCCCATTTATGAATGGACAACAGATTGTCAAGCATTAATGGTTGCAATGGGCATTATTTTGTCCTCTTTATCCTTCATATAAACAATTAAGTGTGGTCAGGTTTAACTAGTTTTGTGTTGAATGTGCATGACTAAGAATATTTTACTAATTTTAAATCTTAATTTATTAAAAGAATAATTGAAAGTGAGGAAATGCATAATTAACACTCTTCAAACATCCTTAACTCTGCTGCTATATGTAGAGCCCTGCGTGGATACAAATTTATACCTATGGATGCAGATTAAATCGGTATCGGCGGAAACGCAGGGCTCTCCCGGGAACCACAGCAGTGAAAGGAGCAGAATGGGGTGGTGCCGCTCCCAGGAGCCAACTCCCTGCACCAGCAGCTCCTCTAGCATGGCTGTACTGTCCCCAGCCCCACTCACTGGGGCAGGCACCAGGCTCGCCGGCAGCTGTCCCTTGTGCTCTTTTGTTCAACCGGCATGCACCCCCTGAAACAGGAGATGCTGACAGCTGCGGGGAAGGGATGGGGGCAGGTCTGGGGGCGATACAGCTGCGTTGGAGGAGCTGCTGGCGCAGGGCACTGGCTCCTGGGAGCGGCGGCCCAATGTTCTGCTCCTTTTGCTGCTAAGGTTCCTGGGAGAGCCATGCAGTTTCGTGGATACCGATTTATATCTGTGGATATACATTTGTATCCACGCAGGGCTCTAGCTATATGCCTGATGACCTTCAACCTAAAGACCAGAAACCTTTTTCTACCCATTCACCTTCTCAATATTATATGGAACATACAAAACCCAATGATAGATGAAAAATACATGGTTAAAAATGAAGTTTTAGCATCTACACAACATTGTCAGTCATTTACACCTGTATATAATATAAGCAAGAAAAAAATCACAAGAGCACAATTATACCAGATACCTGAGAGCTGTGTGTTTGTTGTATGTCATAAAGCAGAGTGACTTAACTTTATTTATCAGATGGGCAGTCTGGTTCAACTACTACACATGGGTTAATAATTTTGGACAATCAAATTAATGTTTTTAATTAATTGTAAGAACAGTTAGTAAAGTTCCTTTAAAAAACATCTTGCAAATTGGGGGAAGTACTAAATTCCTAATATTCAGTAGCTTGCATTAGCTTACACAGGTCAGTGTGCAGTAGCTGAACGAGACAAGTGATTTTAGCTCAGGGGTGGGCAAACTACAGCCCATGAGATGTTTTTATCAAGCCCGTGAGCTCCCATTGGGTAGCAGGGTCGGGGGTTGTCACGCTCCGCCTGGCACTCCCTCTGGGGAGCAGGGTCGGGGGCTTGCTGTGCTCCACCTGGCGCCCCTGACTCAGTGATGAGAGTTTGAGCACCATCTTCCTGGAAGATTCTTCTGGCACACAGAAGAGCCACATTGCGCCGGTGCGACTTCACCACCCCTACGCAGCAGCACGCCAAATCCCCTCCCAGTCTCCTACAGCACTACCCTCGAGAGCCTCAAGTGGAGGGAAACAACCCAGGGGCTGCAGTTGCACCCTTCCTAGCTTGGGTGCCTCCGCAAGTGGCACAGCTGCCTTGGTGTCACACTGCCAGCAGTGCCCCTAGGAGTCCCTGGTACTACCCCTGTAGAGCTCCCCTGCCCCCCACGTGCCACACCTCATGAGTCCTCTTGCCCCACCTCAGTAACATCCCTTACTGTATACACACTTTTAATGAATGCAACAGTGCAAACACAACTCAAAGTACAACAGTAAGAACATTTTTGGGGGGAGGCTGGGGCATAAAGTTACAGGTGAGTTTACACCTGCTTCTGCCTCTTGTCCACATGGGTTGGGCACTGATGCCCAACAATTCCAGGCTAGAGAGAGGGCCCAGTTCTTTCACAGTGCGTGCCATCTTGTAAAACAGTGGTTTGAAATAAGGGCAGCAGTTACAATTTTCTTTTCCCTCTCAAAAATGGTTGCTGCCAAAAAAAAGAAAAGTGGACAGTGAGTGTCAGGTTTTCAACGAAAAATGGAATGCAAAATAGTTTTTCACAAACGTGGACTCAAAGGCTGTACGCCTGATTTGTCAGGAGAGCATCGCAGTGTTCAAGGAATACAATTTGAATTGTTATTTTTCAATGAAACATTCTAATTATGGCAGCAATTTAATAAGTGAGGGCAAGAAAAGCTGAGAAACTCGCCACAAACTTAAAAACTCAGCAAAATATATATGTGCGACAAGCTGAAGTTCAGGAAGCCACTACAAAGGCAAGTTATGTTCTGGCGTTTAAAATCGATAAACAAAATAAGGCTTGTGCTGAGTGGGAGTTTTTGAAAGAATGCATGGTTGATTTTGCTGGCATGCTGTGCCTGGAATACCAAAACAA